ATTGTTAATCGATCAATGATCGATGCTATTATTACGGTTGTCTGTTGATCAAAATTATTCAGCCAATCATTACTTATCACGTGAATTTTTCACATGATCTGGATCCGGATCGAATCCAAAATCACATGATACTACCCGGCTTTAGTGGACCCCCATTTATGGATATTTATGGTGTGTATTTTTATTTATAGATTTGTATCACTTAAATTAACTATCATCTGTTAGAAATAACAATCATTAACGTTAAAATAAACGTTTGAATCAAGAGAACAAGTAAAGAATCTCTTCTAATTAAACAAAAGAACTGAATAATTTAATTATATTCTTAATAATTCTTTATGCCATATTTAAAATAAATTAACAATGACGAGAAAAGAAACTCATCTATGAATTAGCATTAGAAATAACAATCTCGTCACAACATTTAAACTTTAATTAAATTTGAATCAAGAAACTCATGTAATTTTTACAAATAATGAATCTCTTCTAATTAAACAAAAGAACCGAATAATTTAATTATATTCTTAACAATTCTTTGTGCCGTATTTAAAAGGCTCATTATGTATGCGATATACTTAAAAATTCTTATCATTATGTTCTGGTTTTATCGTTATTGTTTTGCAAAGTATTAAATAATTTCTACGTATAATTATATTCGCAAGAAAATTTATTGTTATTTATATCTGAAGAAATATAAATACTTGACATTTTTCGATGAAGATATTAATTTGAAATGGTCGTAATCAGCAATAGAAGTGTTTTAAAAGCACGTAGAATAAAAAAATTACGAAGAACCTGGTGTGCCCAAGAAAAATTAAAGGTTGTTATGTATTATGAAAAAAATAAAAATGAAACTTCTATTCGCGAAACAAGTAAAAAATTTAATATCCAGCCCAAGCAATTACGGCAATGGATAAATAAATAAATAACCTAATTAAAATATCACCAAAGACTTTTAAATTACATAAAGGAAAATTACCCAAGTATCCACAATTAGAAGAATCCTTATCTGATCGGATTAATAAACAACGGCAATTACAAAATCCTTTAACTAGAACATTGGTGATTACGAAGGCATTTTCACTTGCTCGGAGTATTGATTTCCAAAATCTATCGGATATACAAAATTTTAAATTTTCGAATAGATGGTTTTTTGGATCAATATAATTTGTCAAACCGACGTCAAGAAAAAAACAAAGTTTTCTTACTTTTATTTTAAATCAACGAGACTCCTCTTGCTTTTGATTTACCAAATCCGACAACAATCGACAAACGTGGCGCCCACACAATTAGCCTTCGAACTACGGGTAATGAAAGAAAAAAATTCACTTTGGTTCTTGGATGCATGGCCGATGGGACAAAATTACCTCCAGTTTGTATTTTTAAATTAAAAAAAATATCTCGAGAAAGCTTTCCTAATAATGTATTTATTCGTGTAAATGAAAAAGGTTGGTTTAATGAAGAAGAAATTTTTTGGTGGGTGAAAATATTTAGACTACCTTTAAGGAATCCACCATTTAGTTGATTCAGTTAAACATAAACTTATTGAAAATAATCCTGGAGGGCTAACATCTAAACTGCAACCATTAGCTGTTGCTATTGACAAAGTTTTAAGATGAAGGTATATATAAATTTAAATTTTAATTATTATATTTTGTTTTTTTATCGTTACGTATATACATATTTAAAAATTAATTTTAAAAGGTCCGTGCACTATAATCAATGGATGTCAGTTACACTTCAAACCGTATTAAAAAAACTTCATATTCATTACTCGCTAAATGGGTAGAAATTGCGTGGGTATCTCTTGATCCAAATTTAATTAAACGTTCATTTAAATGTGGGATATCTGAGGAAATTGTTATTTCTAACGCTAAGATATAGATGATAGTTTCTTTTCTCGTCATTGTTAATTTAAGTGATACAAATCTATAAATAAAAATACGTACCATAAAAATATCCGTGCATAAACTGGAAAGTACTTTACAAGGGGCGGGTATGTCTGGTTGAAATTATGAAATTAGATTTTATAATACTATTTTACTTAGATTTTATTATGATGTAAATACAAATTATACATATATATTTTTCAATTATTATATTTGATAATTTTGACATTAATCTGATTACTCTATTAATTAATATAATTATCAAATTATTAATTAAAACATCGTAATACAATTATAATGCAGCCAGAGAAAAATTTGTATTTAATTCTACCATATGTATAGTATGAATAACTTAAAAACATTCAATATTTTGATTATTTTTTAAAATGCAAAGAATTTTAAAAATAAAAAAAATATCATTTAATAGTTTTTGATTAGTTCTATCAAGTAAAATACAATTTTAAATAATGCATTTTTTAAAATAGAGAAAAATTCGCATTTTACTATGTTTAATTAATAAAATTTGATGTCGTTGCATTATTTCTGATTGCTACTGTATACTGTTTTTTGAGCTCAACTTAATTAATCCTTCACTATATCGAGAGTTCACTATATCGAGAGTTGACTGTAGTTAAAAGCAATTACGTCATAAATCTGATTGGTCAAATTTACCCAAATTGCTGACTCCCAGAACGATTTATTTTTTTAATGGACAGCAATATTCTATGCTCTTAAGACATGGCATCATATTTTTCACAAACCTTTGAAGCATCTTGAATATATGGTGGTGAGTCAGTAGAAACCAAGCACAATTGCATCACATTTATATCTAAGATTTTAAAGAAATATAAACGTGCCAAAATTAAATCTGTTAATGTAATAAATAAGAGAGATACAATTATAATTTGCTTAGTTTCTATTGACTTAACCCCCATTTTAGTGATCTAAAGTAAGCCAACAAGAACCGAATAATTACCGTTACCTTCCAACAAATAGGACTTACTGTTTAATGGTTCGCTGACCCGTTAAAGCCTGGTACATCACGTGTTTATCAAATAAGGTTTGGTAGGTTCCACATGATCTGGCGTGATGACTATATAGGTTTAACCCCTTGCGGCTCTGGTCTTTATCTTGAGCTGGTTACTGACCCAGACTATTACTATTATGCTTAATTTATTTGCATGAAGGTCATTTATGAAATCTGAAGATCATAATAAGTTTCTAATAAGCATATCTGTGCTCGGGCGCTCATATTTTGATTTTGTAATGCATGTACATGCATATGAATGCTAAAATCTTTACAAAGAATCAGCCTGTTGTTGATCTCTCAATGATGCATACCTGCGTACAATGCAAAAAGATTTCCATTATTAGGTCTGGCTTAATATGCACACGACTGATTAGAAAAGATGCATTCGTTGTGTTGTACTCGATTTTTTAAGGGAAGAATTCGCATAGTTGTTTTCGTTATATAAAGATGTGTCCTACTATCATAGGAATCATTTTATTTTTCCGAGTATCCAAAGATGCCGATTGACCCGCGAATGAAAAATCCAAAAAAAATGTCCATAAGGCGTCGTTTGGGCCATCAACGAGGCTGGGGCTATCCGGATGTTTTTATCTTTTATGGCTCGGTGAATATTAAAAATATCAAAGCTTTTTTGTTTAATTAAATGCGGTGGTAACAATTTAGCTACTATTCATTTTAGGTATTGCCGAGCGTCATTCCTATCATTACTATTACAACTTTATGGACAATTATTATATGCTATCTTTATATTGAACGGGATTATTATGTGGTTGTACCAATAGACTTGGGTTTGTTTTTATTTGAGATATGATTCTTGAAGCTGTTGTTCATACCATATCAAATAATGATTGTTTACGAATATGCCTTTATAGTGGGATCCGTCGCAGTTGTAGTTGGTCTCTTATTAGCTTTTCGTACAAACAATGCTTACGATCGATATTATGAAGGCCGCAAACTTTTTTCAAACCTGTGGTTAGTAAAAATTTATCGAGATGACAGATCTGATATTGCAATTTAATATATAATCTAAAATTGAAATCAATATGACTACTTAGCACTCAAGTTAGAAATTGTGCACGCACATTATGGGTTGGCGTAGTAGAGACATCAGAAGAAGATCACAATGATAAAGAACAAACTATTAAACTGTTATTGGCATATGTGGTGGCAGTAAAACATCATTTGCGTCTGGAATTTGGAATTCGTTGGCCTGACTTAGAAGATCTTTTACCACGCGGTTTTCAGCTCTCATACTTCGATGGAAATGCTTCACAACAACAAGTCGATGTAGGTGCCGGTGGAGCTGAAGATCCAAACTTACCAAAACCAACCGATGAAAACAATCGGACCGATCTTCCAAGCGTCTCAGAAACTGTTCATGGCTTGACCGAAATCATCCCACAAACCTTTCAATTACTTAGTTCACACTCCAATGGAGGATCCGCCACGATTTACGTCAATGATGAAGAATACGATGGAGAAGTCGATGCAAGCATGAGTCTACCCTTGGAAATTGTGATGCATCTTGGTTTGTACTTCGATCAAAAATTCCGTGAAGGAAAGATGGATGGTGGACGATTTGGAACTTTATCTGCCTTTTTGAATGCTTTAATTGAGAATCTTGGTAACTTGGAACGTATTAGTACTACTCCGATGCCACGTGCTTATAATGTTCATTTGTATGTATTTTTTTACTTAGTATATATTTATATTTATATTTATTTATATATATAGAGAGAGAGAGAGAGAGAGAGAGAGAGAGAGAGATATCAATTAATTTTTTATTTATTTTATTTATTTAGGAAACAAGCTGTCACCCTTTATGTTTGGTCTCTTCCACTTGCACTCGTAGACAAACTTCTATGGTTCACCGTGCCAGCTGTCTGTGTTGTTGCTTTTGTGTTGTTTGGTGTTGAGGGTATCGGTAAGTTAATTGTGAAACTACATTCATTCTCTTAATTACTTGTTTTATTTGTTAACGTAATTTTGTGGTTCTTTTAAAAGGTGCCGAAATCGAGAATCCATTTGGTATGTTATGATTTTTATCTATTATCTTAGCTTCAATTTCGCTTTTTAGAATATTAAATGTGATCTCGATAATTTGCTTCTTCTAATACTAACAATAATAGGTTATGATAAAAATGATCTTCCTTTGGATGAATACTGCAAGGTATTTATTGTGTTGAGAAAAAATTTGTGTATTTTTAAAGAATAATAATGCGTGACCTCTCTCTATACAAACTTATATTCTTACCATTATAAATACTTTTTTAGGACTTGGAAGCTGAAGTCAAATATCTGCAACGTCATATTCCACAAAGAAAAGCACCTACTGCCACCTAGAATAAAGAGTAATTTTTCAAGGAGGAAGAGCAACTTCTTTTTCTTATATATATGTTACTCTTATATAGATTTTCTTTTTTTTTAAAGTATGTTCCAAAGCTTTAACTTGAAATTCTGTATAAAGGACATCTTCTATAATGTAAAAATAAAATTGAATGTGTTTTATTGATGACGGACGATATTATTATTGTTATTATAAACCAATAAACTATTTACAATTATTATATACATTCTCGTCTAATAATGAAGTTAATTACTTGTATACTGCTAAGAGTTAAAATACATTGCCATATGTAACCAGATCAAATATGCTATATACCATACCAGCATATATATAGTTCTTTGATCAACAAAGTATGATGAGTCAACACTCGCAGCTTCAACAACCATAAGTCCCGTCTTCTGTTCAATTAACCGAATTAACTGTTGGAAAAAGCAGTCGAACTCATCTTTAAAAATTAGGCTTCTCAAAAAATGGGCTTGAATATTCAAAGAATGCATTCTAAGATATATACAGAGGATGGTATTTGGTAAATCGCGTATTTCATAAAGATGAGTTACATAAAAGAGTTGTTTGTATCAGCATCGAACTATCTCGTGTATGGTGGGTGTTTGGTTAGAAAGTAAGAAATATCGATGACGCTGTTTCGTCCATGACGGAAATTAGAAAATTCCGGCTAGGAAAAGACTCGCCGTTCATGATCAATCTAAAATCGTATTAATTAGAATAAACTTAAAGTGCAACCTATTACCATGCTAATATATAAACGAGGTAGTTATTTTCGGCTAACAGTCTTTCGCTTTTTCGCTGTAGTGGTAGTAGTAACAGTACTTGTCGTCGTTGTTGACGTTTTGGCAGTTTTTCGCTGACCAGGGGCCTGATAAAAGCGGATCATAATTACTTGATAGATATAAACACCAATTCACCCCTTCCCTCTTCGAATCTCACCTTTTTTTTTGGTCCCCTCTTTTTCTTGACAACTTCTACAGCCTCCTCTTTTTCTTTTTCATTTTCATCTTCATCTTCTCTAACATGTTGTAATCCCTCCTGGATTTCTTCTTCCTCCTCTTGTTCTCTACCCCTTTTTCCTAAATTCACCTGCTCTTCAATTTCTTCAGTTCCACGAACACTTGCTTCGTTAGTCTTACGGCTACCACGTCCACGACGAGCTCCCACAGCACTTCCTCGTCGGGAAACGGTAGTAGCTTTATTATTATCGGAGGGACTTTCGGACTTGGGTACGACAATTTTTAAATTAATCGGACGACTATCCGATTCTTGACTGTTTAATTCGGCTCCGTAATTATTAACGTCTTCTTTGGTTTCAGGAACAACGAATTTAATTCCAAGATGCTTAGTTCCGCGAACACTTGCGGCATTAGCTTTACGACCACCACGCCCACGACGAGCCCTTACGGGACTTCTTGGTTGAGAAATAGCACTAGTGCTATTAGCAGATGTAATTTCGGGATGTAGAGCTTCTACGACAGTCTGAGGACTTTCCAATTCCTGTGTAGTAAGTTTGGAACTGTCATTGTTGACGTTTTCCGGAACGGTCGACCCAATGATAGGAAACTGAGTAATGCTGATTACTTCTATGTTGCCTGGAAGATCACTCGATTCCTGTTTGATGAGATCAGCTACATCTTTAATAATGTCTTCTTTTATTTCGGCTTTTATTTCTAGAGCACCAAACTGATTGTTAGGAGATTGAGTGGCTGGAATTTCAGCTTCTATTTTCATTTGCGCATTGTCCAATTCCTGTTCTTTAGTTTCGAGACTAGCGCTCCCATCGCCAAGAGAGTAATTCCCGCTATCAATTCCTTCCTTTTTCGTTTCCCAATGAATTTTTTCATCTGAAACGCTTTGCTCCGACTTCATAATTACCTATACAGTTTCAATAATGGTTAATCTTAATATTACAGATTATAGAATATCCTAATAATTATATGATAAAATAATATTTACATCTAAATTAGAAATTCCATCTGCCTTCCTCTCTTCTTCCTCTTTTTCTTCCTGGATTATCAATATATGGTTGAGGAATGTTAATTTTTGACCATTAATTATATAAAAATAAAACAGGTGATACCTTTATCGGCACTACACAGATAATCTTCTCTTCTCCGTGTTCTAAAGCTTCAATTACTTCCCCAGCGAGTTCGCTAATCTCGTTTTCAGCGAGTGCTTTCTTGCGTTTTGTTATCGATTTCATGTCTTCTCGCCACGGATATCTCGGATCAAATATTTTATTTTCCCTTAGAATTTTTTTGTAATCATCGTCGCTCAGATCAGAAGTATCTTCCCAGAATTTATCGAATTCCTGTGTTGATGCTTCTGAAGTCGAGGGAAGAATCCAAGTGTGTTCTCGCAACCGTTTATGCTTTAAAAAATGACAATAAACTCAAAACCTTATCAGATCAAATAAACAATGAGGTAACGCACTATATACCCTCTCCCGGTCTTCTTCGATTCGCTTTTGTATCTCTTGTGGATTAAACCGTGCTTTCCCAATATCATCACTATTGGATAAACGTGCATTTTAACAATTTATTAAATTCGAAATGTTCGCAAATGAGGAAAATAAAAAATCCTTGTGTGAAAAACAGCAAGACAATAAAAACCATTTCTTTCGTCTTTCCAAGGCCTCCTCAGCAGCGTCCAAAGCAGCTTTCGAGAAATATTCTTTCTTTTTCCATACTTGGAGGAGCTACATGAATTGCCATTTTAATCAATTAGTCCTCTAGCAGGTCATGTTCACAAAACGAAGGTTGTGCAATTCAGCAGAGTATAGTTTCTATGGCTCACCTTTTTCATGTGATTTATGTTTATTCTTCCTCTTGGTTCGTAAGGAACCACTTTATCTACTAAATTCGGTAAATATTCTTCTACTAACTCGAAGTATCCCGCGAACTGCTTGTTACGGGAATACTCGAGTATGTAATCCAGCACATATAATATATTTACTCGACAATTCATCGAGCCCTATTTTTAATATATTGAGCAAGCAAAGCGACGACGTTAAGTTTTAAAGACGTTTTTAAAAACACCAGAAGTTTATTAAGCTAATTTTTTTTAGGTTGCGAGGTTTATTTAACTTTTTCATTATTCTTTAAATACAAATATATACGAGGAGACAAGGAGACAGGGAGAGAGGGAGAGAAGAAATAACTAAATAATACTATAAATAACGATAATTTGCGCAAGCAATTCATTGTTACAGATACAATTTTGTCCGTTCATTTTATGAATCAAAGAAGTAACGAAAAACTGCCAGGTATGCAAGCTGTTTTCGCGTTCTCTCGGAGAGAGCGAGAGAGAATGAAGGTTACAACAATATATATACCTCATCCAACGTTTCTTTCATACATGAGAATAAATCTTCATAGTGCACACGATTGCATATGGCAAAGTGTGCCGCCTTTTGTAACGTTTGGAACAATGGCGTTAGTCTTTTTAGCCGTTCCAAGAACGCGATACGTGCGTCGAAGCCGTCCATCTTTATTTTTTCTTTAGTAAAACTAAAAACTACGAAAAATAATTTTTTTAGTGGTGGTTGTGGTAAACTATACTTCTACGCACAAACTGATGAAAAGTAAGAATGAAATGGCATGGAGATGGATACACACAAAAAAATTACTATAATAAGTATGATGAATGATAACGATCACGTTACTATTTATCGGGAAATGTAATTTTCACGTGAAACTTATCATTTAACGCCGAGAATCACACATATCGGAATTTCAAATATGTATGGATATTTCAGATATCCGTAAAGTTTTATACAAAGCCCATGTAATTTTTCAATTCATCATCAATTAAAGTTAGATGATGACTCTTTAATCAGATAATAATAATTGTCGCCGAGCCCTGGGGAATATGCCATTGTGTTCCTTCGATGATGATATGGTTGTCAACACACACAAAATAAATAACAAAAATTGACAAAGAAAATCTTTTGCTACCAAGAGGTCATCTGATACAACAGTAATATTTTCGGGTGAGATTTACGTCATTCTCAAGACAAGGAGGTTGTTAGGTAACAATTTTATGCTCAGTAAAGAAAATTTAGGCGGGGAGTTTTTTTTTTAATTATACACCTTGCAAATTTTTTTGGTCGAAAACAATCGATAACCAGTTTAATCCGGATTTCCGAAAAAAGATCAAATTAGAATGATTTATAGTAATAAAATATTAAACACGCGGACATCCCATAAGTTGAATATCTTGGATTCACAAATCGTGCGTATGTACTTTCGACATACTTGTGGAGAAAGCCATAAAAATAATATTATCGAGGCACAGGATACAGAAATAAAGTAATAAGTGGAATAAACGGATGCATGACTACTGAGTTTCTGGTTGATTGATGCTCTATTACATCGAAGGCAAAAATATCATAAATTATCCTTTAATTTCAACTTTCGTGCCACCAATCTATTACGACCCATTTGTATACTACATACACATACATATACACAAAACTAGCTCTTTTATTTATAACTTAATCTATATTATAATTATATCTTGAAGCTTTCGCTCTCTCAAACCAATGCAAACAATGCAATCAATCCGAAAAAAAGTAGTAAGTCGTTCAAATAATTTTATTTTCGAACTATTGTCTTTCACTCTTTATTACCTTGCCACACATTACACGTTTTTTTCATCTGACGCTCGTGTACCAGTTAAGGAAAACGAACGACTCAAATAGTGGCGGTGGAAGTAACACTAGCAATGGTAAATCTGGCGGTAGTAGCTCGAAATCTTCGGGAAAGAACTCGGTTTCTTCTCCCTCTTCGAGTACAAGCAGCAACAATAGTGATAACTCGGGTCCAACGCCCACAATTGTAGTGGTAACTGCAGACCAGGTTACATATATGTGTTATTTTTGAATGTTTGTTTTGGCTTTACTTTTCAAATCTTTAATTGACATTTGAGATTACTCTTCGTTCATTATTCGGCATGTGTTTTATGAAACGAAGAGGCAGGCACATGCTCAAGCTGGCGTAGATGCAGCAGCTCCCCTGTCACCTGCTAGTAACCACAAGTCTCATTCAAAAGATGAACCTCCTAAAAGAGACCCATTGAACCGTTTAAAAAATACTCCCAAGGATGTCATACCAATCAGTAAAGCACCACGACGACAGAGATCCTCAAGGTTTCACGTCACGGAAAGAGTAGAATTGGAAAAGTTACCAAATTTTAACGGTTGGTCACGATTAAATTCAGTGGAGGAAATTTTTCGATGATGGTCAATCAAGTCTTTTTTCTAATGTTTGATTATCCTAAATTATAGAGGTTTCGGTTGATAAGAGACAAGAACTTTTTCTAAAAAAACTCAGCCAATGTGCTGTTATTTTCGATTTTAACGATGCAAGCGCTGAACTACAAGGAAAAGAAATAAAACGTGCAACTTTGACGGAACTTTTAGAGTACATAACTACAAATCGAGGAGTCATCACTGAACCAATATATCCTGAAGTGGTTTCCATGGTTTGTGTGGATTCTTTTTCTACTAATTTGTCAATAATTAGTATTTTTGTTCATATTATTAAGTCCAATAGAAATATATATATTTTTTCCCTGGCATATTCTTTCTAGTTTGCTATGAACCTCTTTCGAACGATACCACCACAAGTTAACCCAACTGGAGATGCCTTTGACCCCGAAGAAGATGAACCGGTGCTTGAACTTGCTTGGCCACACCTTCAAATTGTTTATGAATTTTTCCTACGGTTTATTGAATCTCCTGAATTCGACACTAATATCGCAAAGAAATATATAAATCCACAATTTATATTGCAGGTGTGATAATTTATTATTTAATTATTAGTTAGTTAGTTAGTTTAGATCAGACGTTACATCAATTTTTATCGTTATTTTACCCTCCTATGAAGAAGTAATATTTGATAATTATGGTTATTTACTACGCTTTCATCAGCTATTAGATTTATTTGAAAGTGAGGATCCAAGAGAACGTGATTTCTTAAAAACCACCTTACACCGAATCTACGGAAAATTTTTAAACCTTCGCGCATTTATTCGAAGATCAATCAACAATGTATTTTTCCAGTTCATATACGAAACTGAACGTCATAATGGTATAGCTGAATTGTTGGAAATTCTCGGGAGGTAAATAACAAACCCATAAAATTTTTAAGTTCTATATAATGACAGGGAGTAGCTTTTCTTGATCAGTAATCATTCTTTCTGCTTATTAGTATCATCAATGGTTTTGCATTACCTCTAAAAGATGAACATAAGACTTTTCTTACGAAAGTCTTGATACCTTTACATAAGGTTAAATCTTTGACATTATATCATCCACAGCTTGCATATTGCGTAGTACAATTCCTCGAGAAAGATCCTTCGCTAACTGAAGAAGTAAGTTGTTCTTAGAGAATAATTTGTAATATGTTTGATTGGTTGTAACATACCAATTCAAGACAATTAAGCAGTATATATTTCTTTTCCGTCGCGTGTAAAGGTTATCTGTGGTTTGCTTCGCTTTTGGCCGAAAGTTAATAGTCCAAAGGAAGTTATGTTCTTGAATGAAATAGAAGAGATATTGGATGTAATTGAACCACAGGAATTTGTAAAAATACAAATACCTCTGTTTCAACAGATAGCCCGATGTGTTTCCAGTCCGCATTTCCAGGTACAATTAATTATTGGATGCATTTTTTCTTAATTGTCTATGAAGATTAGGAGGATTTTGTGCCTTATTTGATCACGATTATTGTTATTATTCTTCTTGCCTTGCAAAGGTAGCAGAAAGGGCTCTTTATTATTGGAACAATGAATACATTGTTAATCTGATAGGAGATAATGTTAACACGATTTTACCAGTAATGTTTCCATCATTGTATCATAACTCAAAAGCCCATTGGAATCGGTAAAAAAATGCAATTTATTTTTTCTATTATTAATTTAAAATCGGAGGTTTTATGTATGACTAAACCTCTTCCATTTTACAATTTTCAGGACGATTCATGGTTTAGTTTACAATGCACTTAAACTATTTATGGAGATTAATCCTGCTCTTTTTGATGAATGTGCTGCTCAATATAAACAGAATCGTCAATTGTAAGTTTAATCGCGAGGATGAGTTGGAATTCGGTTCCCGAAGAAGAATTATTTCTCAATTGTACAAATTATCCTTTTTTTTATTAGAGAAAAGAAAAGAATGAAAGAGCGAGAAGAGACATGGCACAAACTAGAAAAGACGGCGGCTCACAATACAAAAGGGCTTCCTTTGCCGTATCCTATTGCTGGGCCAACAATCACTACAACCTTAGGGGTTGAAGTTTCTGGTGGGTTAATGATGACATATCAAAATCTAATTATTGTAAAAATATAAAACGTAAAAATTTATCGGGAAAAATTGTAATTTAACAGTTTCAAGCTATACTAATCTTTATGCTACTGAGGACGATGATGCTGGAAATCTCTCGAGTGGTGACGAGGACTTGGAAGGAGAAGAACGGGCCGATGAAGAAAATCCAGAAGATGAACACGGAGAGCTGGTTAGTCTAGTGATAGAATTTTTTATTTGCGAGAATTTACAAATTACAAAATTTTTATGCGAATTTTTTAGCGAATGTTCGATGGCAGGCCAGATGGTGTCAACTTATTCCGCCGGAAATCAATCATACCAGTTGACGAATCGGTATTATCAGAGTTGGAGCGTCATCGAAGCTTGGATGATGTACTTAACGACCCACCGGACTCGAGCAATTCTAACCCTTCCAATTCTTGATTTATCATCAACCACCATCATCATCATCACCACCACCATCATCATCATCATCATCATCATCATCATTATCATCATCATCATCACCATCCATCAATCAATCAATCAATCATTCATTCAATCAATCACCATCATTAATATTATTGTTAAGTTTAATAGACAAAATAATTTGGTCTTTTCTACCATCAGTGTATTAAAAGATGTTGCATACAAAATTGTATCATTTATACGGGATACCGGACTAATAATGCGGGGAGTTTAAAGTCAAATCTCTTTTGGATTTTTTGCTGGAAAGAGGAGAGGAAAAGAAAGATAGTGTGATTGTGGATGATTAATTTTAATTAATAGGCTGGGAAATTTGTTTTTAACAATTGACGCTAGAAATTTTGTTTTATTATTTTTCCTTCTTTGTGTATTCTAATTTCATGGACATCTTTTTTGTACTTTTCCTTTTAAATATAATTCTTGCGACAATTGATAAAACAGATCGAAGAACGTAAAAGAAAGAAGGAGCTCAAAACGGGATGCACCATTATCGATGTATAAGCGACGGATGATGAGTCTTTAATTTTTGTAATAATGTAAAAAAAAGAGAATCGAACATTATTAATTCTATTGGGATTTTACGTTGGTGGTAAATATCACCTGCACTACTATTTTTGTTATTGATATTTGGACGATGTCAAATAATTAAGTTCGCGTGTGCATTCGCATAACGATGCATTATAATCATTCTATTAATGTTTGGCAAATTTTTTTGGGTAGAACAAATGTAAAAATTTGGTAATCGTACACGTTTTAGTATACCAGTTTTGATTTCCTGCATTAAGTACGATTCCAATAACATAATTGAAAGTTGTCGCAGTTAATTTGCTAATCATATGTAATCTGTTGTGAACCACAAAAGCTTCAATACTGTATAAATGGCCGATTTTGACAAATGTCGCATGTTCCACATCTGTGTCCGTCGGGCCACGCATGACACTTGTTAAACCGGCTTAGTCACATTAAATGCTGAAAATTTTGCAGATCATTACTTATGAAATTGAATGATTGGTCAGATTATGAGTGTGGAATTTTTAAAATCGAATAACGATAACGATAAAGGGATTAATAAGCGTGATAAAGATTATATAAATTTTTTTAGCATTAACAATTAGTTATAGTGTTTTCTGCATAATGCTTTGCTAGCTAGATTTAATATCTGGTATAGTCACTTTATTAGATACTACAGAAACGTCATTCTTTTCACAATCACAGATAATATCATCAGGTCACAGTATTCTGCCTTTCTCTTACCTTTTTTCTCACCAACAGGACGCTGTACAGGCAACATCTATAAAATAAAATAGTAAATTAATATATGTATATTTTATTTTGTCGAAATTCTAATTCTGAAATACTAAATTGCAAAAACTCTAGCTAACTTCACCTTTTTTACCTATGCGGTGATACATTTTGAACCAATCAGATTTAAGCCTGCTATGGTATGGTACTAAGCTGGACGCACTATATTTCGAGTTAAAATTATTTTTCTGAATCAATTTTTAAACAAAAAGTTGTATACTGACCTAGAGTTTATTTTTAATATCAAACCAATTTAAAACCAGTTTTATAATAAGAAAAATTAAACCAGTCCTAAACTCTAATGAGACTAATAGTCGCAGATTAAAAGAATGCATATATCGTATCCAACTTCCGTGATTTGTTAGGATACATTCGATACTTTTTGATATTCTTTCGTCTAAAATAAATATATTAATATCAACTAAACTTACATTACATTTACGAGGTCTCATCCGTTGCTATACTATACAATAAGGTGGTATCTCGGACGAAACTAGTTTCGCCCACAAAGTGTTTCAAATTAGGAGCTCGTACTTTTTTGAAAACTAGTTTCGCCCGAAACACAGGTCGTGCTGGAGGATGAGATCGTTAAAGGATTGTTTATTTCTTCTACCGGATTACATAAAAATGAGATTTGTGAAGTCGGTTGCGACACCAGTGACATGAGCGATTTTTGAGAGTACTGACGGTCTCCATAAGTTCTTTCAAAGTAGTCTTCAGTGTGAATGACCACTACAATTCCAGCGTTGATCTTTAATTATTGCTTGGCGGTTAGTTATATTCAGATTCGGCCCACTCTCTAAAAAGTTTCCTTTGGCCGATTTCTCCATTCTCTTTTAGATAATCAAGCTTTACAGAAGTGTTATGTTTTCTAAAAATATACTGTTATATGTAAATCAAACAAATTAAAATACGAGTTCTCAATTATGACGCGCGTTATGTTTTCAACTTCATATGGGCTGATCGTCAATTTTAACCAATAAAAATCATAATTATGATTACCATGTTTGGGAGAACAGATTTTTGTACGTTAAAAATTCCAATTTATTTTGTACTCTTGCTATCCAAACTATTGACTTGATATGTGCATGCTCTTTCTACTTTCTTTCAAACAAAAATGTCGACCAAACTGTACGTGTTGGTGAAAATGTTATTGACCATTAAAGGAATTAAATAAATTATAGGATTAATCGACTTTTATTCTATTTCACATGATATAATTTTAGTCCACTGAACGTGAAGAAAGCCATACGTGATTTCTATGACCCAACGATACCTGATCTTGTAGACAAAATACGAAATGCAACACTAGAAGAATTCGAGTTTGGGTTAAACTGGGAACACGTATACGCAAAAGTCAGTGGAAAATATATTGGCGAGGATTTCGTGAAAAAAGTTCTCTCCTACTTTTTCTACACTACCGCATCTATTCAAAAGAAATGTAATGATGATAATTTAATCGGGGAAGCGTTATTGGAGAAATGCACTTCCCGAAGAATAATATTCGAAGTTGTGGAAAATTCACCCGGGGAACGTGATCCTACCACTGTTTTTGAACAAGGGGTAATGTATGTGAGGACGACTGTGGAAAATTTCGGAGATAAAGTTGATCAAGCTGCTGCTTACTTTGAAGAGAGTTTTGATGGATTTGGACCCGTTTCTGATAAACTTGGTAAGACTAATGAATTATTAGTTAATGGTGTAAGATATAAATTGGAATTATAAATAATTATTATGACTCTATATTGACTATATAGCAACTAAAGATCTAAGAACTGCACTACCAACCCTCAATCAAATATCGTCAGTACTAACAAACACCCCGCAATATGCGATCATTCGACTTAAACGAGGTGAACGCATGTGTGAAGATTCTCTTACCATTGATGGACCCAATGAACTTTTACATCAATTACATGATTGGATTCAAAAAAATATTGCACCAAATTCAAATTTCCGAGAACCAGCATCGATTCGGTTTCTCCAATCGTTATGTCAAAAAGAATTATTTATAGAAAGTAATGGCTCAAATGTTTTATATAATTTTAGCGTTGCAAGTATTTTGCAAGCGATGGAAGGGGTTGGGTATCAATTGTCACAGGTACAATTACAACCTAAATTGGAACTGTATGTTTTGAGAAGTAAAGTGGTTTTGATGAATAATCTATCAAAGAGTAGTTCATCGAAGTAATTTGTGGTATTTCCCTTGCTTTGCTATACGTGAAGTTTTTTGGCCGCCATTAATAATCTAATAATGAATAAATGATTAATGATTAATGATATATCATTTAATAACGATAATGCATTAACAATATTAACGTTAATGTTAATGGTATTAATAATTCAAATGTATGGTCACGTGTAAAAGAGTCATCACAATTCTAGACGGGAAGTACCAATCAGAAGAGATTCACGCATTGGGAATTCTCTATATATATTTGTTTTTATTGTAGAACCTTTCTCTCTTTTTATCAGTCTCGCTCGAATTTCTAACATGGAGGTAAATAACTACTCACACTTACCTGTGCTTTCACGTGTCCTGCTGAATTTTGCAAACTCACAACAAAGTCACGCGTGCTCGAGGCTAAACTGACATCTATCTCGAATTACTCTCGTTTTGATACAGAGCATTCTAGACTTTTCGCAAGATCTTGACGTCGCTAAGCTCGATGCAGTCGTTAAAACACTCTATACAGCTTCTGGCCCTGAAGTCAGTTTAAGCAGGAATTGCTTAGAATTTTATAATTAAACGTGATTTCAATTATTCGCTTGTGCTAAATAAGATTCTGTTAATTCTCGTGGATATAATTCACGGTTTTAGCAACAAATGGCCCAACAAATCCTTTCCAATTTTCAAAATCACCCAGAAGCCTGGTTAAGAGTTGACGCAATCCTTGAAAAATCACAGTTCTCTTACACCAAGGTACTGTCGCATCCACCAAATCCAATCGATTAGAGCAAATTCTAACATTTCAGTGATTTTTTAGTACCTCGCTCTTCAAATACTTGAAAAATTAATTCAAACGCGTTGGAAAATCCTTCCTGCTGAACAACAAATGGGTATGTTTATTCTCTCTCAAAAAGTAGATCATTATGTTTCCCACCAAAATATTAATATGTTTTATTCATGTTTGACAATGTGACAATGAAAGGTATTCGCAGTTATATTGTCAATATAATTTTGAGTACTTCTGAAAATGAACAGACTCTTCGTAAAGAAAAGACATATCTGAATAAACTTAATTTGATCTTGGTTCAGGTGAATTATTTTTTATAGTAAACACATGCAATTGGAGGATTTACTTCGATTGATCGTTTTTTTTCCTCCTTCGTTTAGATTCTCAAACAAGAATGGCCCCATAATTGGCCGGGATTTATTCCAGAAATTGTTTCTACAGGCAGACAAAATTTAGTTGTATGCGAAAATAATATGGCCATTTTAAAATTATTAAGGTTTTTTTTATATCAACGGAATTGAATGTTTGTTTTTGCTTTATAAAAGAATAAGTTTTATTTATAGTTATTTTTGAATTACGGGTAAAAACGCAGTGAAGAGATCTTTGATTATTCAGCCGAACAGATGACACAAGTAAAAACGAGAAATCTGAAAACTCAAATGTGTCAGGAATTCGGACAAATATTCGAGCTATGTAATGAAGTGCTGGAGAAAGCTCAACAACCAAGTCTGATAAGAGCTACCCTGGAAACACTATTAAGATTTTTAAATTGGATTCCACTCGGCTATATCTTTGAGACTAACATTATAGATTCTTTGCGCTCGAGGGTAAGAGATATGATTATTCTATCGATTTGAATCTTTATGTTGATTTCATCGAAAAGCAAAACAATTAATCGTCCGAGTGTATACAGTTCTTGGAAATTCCCGAATATCGAAATGTAACATTAAAGTGTTTAACTGAAATTGGAGCATTACAAGTGGATGCACAATATAACGATAAATTTGTTTTACTCTTTGATTTGGTTGTGTCGGCTGTCTCTGCGATGATTCCACAAAATACAAGTATGATTAATTATTCTAGTAATTTTTTACTATTCAACGTTCAAACGATTAAGCATACTCATTGCTTGTATAATTTAAAGATCTTGCTGCAATTTATCAATCTAGCAGTAATGAAGAACAGGAATTTATACAAAACCTTGCAATCTTTTTCACAAGTTTCTTGAGTGCACACTTAAAGGTATAACGAAATATGAGCTGAATTACAAAATTATTCTTTTACTGCATATTCACATTCACGCGTTATTTTCTTTTTTAATTCTTCTAGATTCTTGAAACTCCACAAAGTCAGCCGAATTTGCAGCGTGCACATTATTATCTCCTCTACATAACACAAGTGGAAGAACGAGAGGTGTTTAAAGTTTGTTTAGAATATTGGACCAAACTGGTAATAAAATCATTCATTATAAATAATACTCGATTATTTTTTTGTCAAGTTTTCTAATTATCTTTCGTCGATTATTTTATCAAGGTCGCTGAATTATATGAAGAGATTCAGCAAATGCCAGTACCAGTATATGAGATGTCTCTTGTTATGGCTCCTGGCATCATACCTGGGCCACAACTTTCCAGTATTCAGTTAAGAAAACATTTATATGCTGACATTTTATCTGCTTTACGAACAGTTATGATTGACCGCATGGTCAAACCAGAGGAGGTAAGAGGAAGCTTCTATCAATGAATTTCGGCATCATTACATCTTCATTAACGATAAAAAATTCGTAAAGGTGCTTATTGTCGAAAATGACGAAGGAGAAATCGTGCGCGAATTTATGAAAGACAGTGACACAATCACGTTATATAAAAGTATGCGCGAGTGTCTAGTTTACCTTACGCACTTGGATGTACAAAATACTGAAGCTATTATGTCGGATAAATTAACTAAACAGGTTTCTATAATTTTCATATTTATTTATTCATGAAAGTTCTTTTAAAATTTATATTAATTCTTTATTAATTACAGGTTGATGGGTCAGAGTGGTCTTGGGCTAATCTAAATAAACTTTGTTGGGCAATTGGATCCATATCAGGCGCAATGAGTAAATTTAATCATTATTTTTTACGTTAATGAATAATTTCATTTATATAATTATTAATTTAATGTGTGAAATTTCAGACGAAGATACCGAAAAGAGATTTCTGGTTACAGTTATCAAAGAGCTTCTCAGTCTCTGCGAGGCAAAACGTGGCAAAGATAATAAGGCTATTGTGGCCTCCAATATTATGTATATTGTCGGACAGTATCCACGTTTTCTCAAAGCTCACTGGAAATTCTTGAAAACAGTAGTCAATAAACTTTTTGAATTCATGCACGAAACTCATGAAGGTATATCAACGATCATCATATTTATTAATTTACCTCTAGTGTACTGTGCTCTATAAATTGTCCATTAATCGGCTTCTTTTTAGGTGTACAGGATATGGCTTGCGATACTTTTATAAAGATTGCACAGAAATGTAAGCGACAATTTGTTGCCCAACAAGCCGGCGAACTTTACCCATTCATTGACGAAATCATCGGCACAATTGATAAGATTACACAAGACTTGTCATATCAACAGGTAATTCTTAGTGATAATATATCATATATTTTATTAATTATGAAGATAGTTTAAATTTTTATTTTAGGTACAAACATTCTACGAAGCTGTTGGTTACATGATATCAGCACAAACCACGAAAAATATACAAGAACGTCTTATAGTATCGTTAATGGAACAACCGAATGTCGCGGTAAGTTTAATTTATCCAATAGAGAGGAATTCTTTTATTATTAAATTTTGCTATTGATCTCAATTTTCTTTATTTAGTGGGATCAAAGGCTAGCTGAAATAGCACAGAATTTGGCGGCTTTGGATGTTTCAGAGAACGTTAAACTACTTGGACATGTACTGAAAACAAATGTAGCTGCTTGTACCTCTATTGGATCTGGGTATTCGGTTCAGCTAGGCCGAATTTATTTACATTTATTAGAGTTATACAAAGCGGTGAGCAAACGAATTTCGGATTCAGTAGTTGAGCAAGGTACGATGTTTAGGGTGGATAAATCTTGTTTTGACCTTTTATGATCTTCCTTTATATATAGTTATCTATTTGTTATGCCGCATAGGCTTAATTGCAACAAAGACACCTCGGATACGTGGATGGCGAACTGTCAAGAAAGAAACGTTGAAACTGATGGAAACTTACATCAACAAGGCAGAAGATCTTGAACAAGTAAAAACACATTTACTGCCACCATTTTTCCAGGCCGTCCTTATTGACTATAATCAGAATGTCGAACCTGCTCGAGATGCAGAAGTACTGAGTGTAATGGCTACTATCATATCTAGACTAGGGGTAAATACAATTCATTAAGATATTATTACATAAAGAGCAGCTCTAAACTCACTATAGTATAAATATTTTGTATTTGATCATGATCCAGCCTCTAGTAACACCCGAAGTCCCACAAATTCTTAACGCGGTATTTGAATGCACACTGAATATGATCAATAAGGACTTTTCCGAGTATCCAGAACATCGTGTCGGTTTCTTTAAACTTATACGTGCTATCAACTTGAATTGTTTTGAAGGTATGAAATTCTCTCTGGAATATGGGTGATTTCTTTTTATATGCCACTTAATACTAATAACATACCTTCTATGATTGTGCATTTTAGCATTACTTGGTTTGCCGCCTGCTCAATTCAAACTTATCATGGATAGCGTTGTTTGGGCTTTTAAACACACCATGCGTGATATTGCAGATACTGGACTATATATTTGCTATGAATTGATTAACAATATATCCAACCAAGACATCAATACTGCTAATGTCTTTTATCAACAATACTTTTTAAGTCTAATACAGGATATATTTTATGTCTTGACAGATGCTGATCACAAGAGTGGTATGTGTTGGTTGTAATATTTGACTTAAAATTTCTCAAGATTGTAATCAACTTGTACTTTTTGAATTATTAGGATTCAAGATGCAAAGCACGGTACTTGCACGTATGTTTCATCTTGTGGAGACGGGAGCTGTCCAAGCACCTTTATATAACCCATCGGAAGTTACTGATCCAACAATGACGAATCTTCAATTTCTGAGAGAATATGTTATGAATCTATTGAAAAATGCATTCGCGCATCTCCAAAGGTTTGGTTTGATAAAGATTCGGTTGTTTGCTCGATAATGTGTACAAAAATCGAATATTAATAATTGTTAGCAAAAATCCATAATAGGACGCAAATTCAAGTATTTGTAATGGGTCTATTTGAGCTAAACCAAGATCCCGCCAAATTCAAATTACATTTGCGAGATTTCTTGATTCAATTAAAAGAATTCGCTGGAGACAATACAGATCTTTATCTTGATGAGCGGGAGGCAGAGCTAGAACGAAAGAAAAAAGAAGCGATGGAGAGTGCTCTTAAGATTCCTGGTCTTGTAAAACCCGCTGATTTGCCAATGGATGAAGAAGAATAGTAAGATCAAACATCTGTGACATCTGTGACGGCACATAAGTCTCTCATTGGCTGATCACACGTTTGTTATTGTTGTGTAAGCAATAAATTAATAATCTGTCAATATTTTATGACGTGTATTTTTCATTATATATAGAGCTGTTGTGTAAGAAGAAATCATTAATGTTTTTATTGTGGTTATTAAATAAAATACGATAATACAACAATGTCTAATCACTATATTGATAATGTTGCTGCGGAAGCTTCGGTTCGAGGTCGTCGTTGGTGTTTTACATTAAATAATCCTGGTGAATTTCGTCCAAATCCGGAGAATATGAGGAATCTTCGGTTTATGGTGTACCGCTCAAGGAAAGGGAAATGATATTTCGGTCGTGCAAGAGATGGTTAAGGCGGGAGCGTCGGAAAAAATGATTGCGGATGAGTAATTTGCTGTGTGGCTTCGGTACCGCCAATCTATTAATGCGTATATTATGAAGAGACTGGAAAATGGAGGTGCGTAAATCTCGTTGGTGTCAGGATAAGTATCCTGATGCGTTTTGGAAAACATCTGATAAGTGGTGGTGTGGATACGCCAGCCAGGTGGTAGTTATAGTAGATGATTTTATGGGTGGTTACCCTAGTCGGTGTTATTCAAGGTGTGTGACAGATACCCTTTGCAGGTAGAGACAAAGGGTGGAAAGGTGGAGTTTGTTGCTGAGAAGATAGTATATGAGGCATCACAACTGGAAACTAAGGAATTCGACAATATTAATTTCGAAATACTTATAATTGGATTTTAATGGTTTACTGCATGACCATCAGATGCATGAAAACAATACTAAAAAATAGTCAATCCGATGCATATAATTATGTATATACCGTAAAGTCCCGAAAATAAGCAATCCCTTCTCTTTAGGTTCCAAAGTCTTAACAAAGTTGAATAACCAATCCTCTTTTAAATTTTAAAAAATTAATATTTATCAAATATCAAATAAAATTTATTATATATTCATTTTCTAATTCTAACATTACTTTCATTATTTCAGCTAAATCTTCATTTTTTATTTGATCCACTAATTTTTGTATTAGAATTATATAATAAATCATTTTCAGTTCAATCCAATACATTAGAAATATCACATTTTTTATTTTATATCTTTAAAATCCAATTAATTGAAATTTTCTTTTATTCATTTACAAATACCATTTTTCTCTTAATTTGTTAGTACAAATATTCAAAGATTGTATTATAAATATATATTAAATATTTAGGAATAGCCAAAACAATATAATTATATTGTTATAATTATAATTTCATAATTTTCATAATTTTCAACAAACTATAAAATTATAAGTCATGCGGATGACTCACCTTCATCATCGCTATCAATATATAAAAGAATTTAATGTAAAATTTGCAAATTATTGACGAAGAATCTGACTGTATAGACTGTTCGTCTGATTTCAAACTAACTGTTGGATTGGAGCAAATATGAAAGATTATGTTGGTGTATTGCCTTGTCCTTCTCGTCTGATTGATTTGAAATTTCTTGTTCATCCGATTTTTGCAAATCGATTCGGTTGTTCGCTGGGACTCAACCAGAATTTATCGATTTCGTCGTCTAGATCCTACAGAAGCACAAAATCAAATCATAATTATACCATAAGAATAATACTAGCAGTAACATTAAATAATTCTGGATAAAAAAATGCATCTCTTTTCGATACTTCTTCGGAAGACAAATGATGCTTATTAAAACGTTCCTACCAACAGGAAGATTCACAAAATTCCAATTTTATAAAAGATAATATGATTCTTAGAAATATGCACTAGTGTACAAAAGGATTAATTCATGGCTGACCTGAATTTGGGTTCGGAAAGAATTGATTGCGGTATCATGCTCCATAGCAATATTTTGACTTCACGTTAAAGAAATGCTGTTCCTGTATTCAAAGTTTTTATACTGCCTAAGCATATTAAACCATTAAAATTTATACCTAAGTATGATACTCTACTCACTTCCATTGAACGAGCCTTTTCGCGCCTCGTTTACTTGAGTTGAGGTCCAATACCGTTCCACACTCGAATTATTTATCATCATATAAAAATTACGGAGCATCTCCTGTGCCTTGGATGATAGCTCACCATTTTCTGATGCGATTTCTTCCAGCGATCTTTTTCTGCTTGATCGCGTTGGGAGGACCTGTATTCCAAAATTTTAAAGAACTTGACAACTCCGAATCCGCTTGCAAGGGCACTCCTCAAAGCTTCGTGATAAACAACCTAATCACAAGCATAAAGTAATTATTATTTCTTTCATAAATCAATAGGAAAATGGGAAAATATATACCATAGTTTAATAACTTGCAAAACGTAAAAAAAGAATTAGTAGTTTTATTTGATCAACAGATATCACATTAAACAATTCTAAATTAGCAAGCAGTCATCCGGTGACAACACCAGGAAGGTACGAAACCAAGCAAGGCTTTACAGGTCCACGGACAATGCGTTTGCGTTTTTAATAAATATCAATTTAGGTGACAACAACAGGGAGGTAAGAGATTGCAAAATAATACGTGTACCTTTAACAAAAACTTCCCAAGGATGAATTACGTTCATGCAGACTTCAAATACTTGTTGGTCATATCACGTGACCGAAACCAGTAAAAATATTTTGTTAGTTAATAAAGCGGATTTGTTGACGGATAAGCAAAGGTAAAAAAAAACACGAAATAGAAGGTATAGATGAGCCAGCAAATTGTGCAGATCTTAATGGGGCTATGGAACCCGTCTCAGTTACATGGTCCAACTGATCACGAAGAGATTCATAATTGACGGTGATGTTATTAATGGTTTCCACACGTGCATTGAGATCCGCAGTGAGTTGTTGTCTGATGACATATATAGCGAAGCACATGCCAGCTAAAATCAGGTGAACAGGGATCTTCTCAGCGAGCATCATTATTAACGCGAAGACCAAAAAAGGTGCAATTTCTGAAATGTTGATTGAAGACATCTATGTGAGGAAAGAAAACACGATTAGAAAATTTAATCGTGGGGAACGCACGAACATTCAAACATAAATGATGATATCTTTATTCGATTAAAGCTAAGTAAAATGAGTTTGATGGTTTCGCTCGCTTTTGTAAACTTTTATTAATTGTTTCGTGACGCTTTATTTTTATTTTGCAGATGGGTAGAGGTGACAAAAAAAGAAATCACATCTTTTATAGGGAACATATCGATAAGCATTTATTTCACGTAAAGACTGGAACTTGCTAGAAATACATGAATTACGTTGTAAAGATAACTATGTCCATAAAACGTATATAAACTTTTCGGTACATTTTCATTATGACAATAAAGAGTGTGTTTTAAATATGATTAATTGGAATCTCGGCACTCGGTAGATTGTAACTTTATTTATAGTATGAATTCGTTACCACCATGCATTTGTGATCAATTATACCGAAACAATGTCCATTCTATAATTTATCTGGTCCATTCCTAGATCATGCACGATCAACTCTACTAATACCACTAGGACTGTTAAAAAGCTCACCGACTTGGTCCTTGAGTCGACTCGTCCTGGATATTTTAAGATCGACTAGTCCAAATGATCACATGATGGAATCCTTATAACGCATATCATGTCATTTATCATGATTAATATCGGTTAAGTAGTTGAAAACGTCATGATTAAAATTTTTAGCACATCTGGAATGTGTGCCAGGTTTGTGCCGCAGCAATAAAATTACCCAAAAGTTTATATATAGTTAGGGTTAGAGTGGAGGTCAAGATTATATGTAAAATTGCCTCAGCGACATTTTTTATTAGTACTCCAAGTTAGATTTGAACATCCATTTCCCGTATTTTTCGCATTTTTCATTTTTTTGCATCAGATTGTTTCGCACATCCTTATTGGTCTGTGCTACTAGTAGATCGCATTCTTATTGGACTGCGGCACGAACCTGGCACACATTCCAGATGTGCAAATTTTTAATCATTGCATGTTAAATAAACTATTAATTAATCGCTCAATTTTTATTAAACTTATAATCGTCGCTCGCATCCATTAAAGAGTTATGTACTATATTAAAGAGAGCTCCCTCTTTTCGATAATATGCATGAGCTCAACTTTGGAACCGAGTCCTAATCAAAGTTCTGACTTTTGGAGTCAGGACGGACAGGATCAGACTTTTAACAGCCCTACAGTACCACGTTACCCCTCATGATCGACTCTGCATGCCACGTTATCTTAAATACATGTCACGATCACGGGCGCAAAAAAATCAGATTATCGAAATCACGTTTCATATATATGACCAAAACTTTAGATATTTGAGCAATTCAGAACAATCACACATCCCCACTACATTATTCCTAACTCTAATAAAACCAGCTTCTGAATCATATATATGCTCATATATATTTGGATTGAGTAGTTGCAAATACTGGATTGGATTGTCAGTAAATTTACCCATTGTTTTATGTTTATTATTTCGTGATTTACCCATGATAACATATACTTGCTTTTTTTAAGATTCAAATTTGAATAGGTATTAATTATTTCCAAGGATGACTGCTTTTCGATAATATCGATCTTTAGCATGCTCCATAAATGGGCCGCTTGGACGATAAAGCCATTAAATTGTTGCTGAATTTATTTGCTCTTGTCATGAACGAAATGCTCGCTGGATAATTAATATTACATGTCTTTTACTATATATGGGTCTTCCAAAACAATAAGGCTGATGGTTCCAGCATGCATGTGGCTTCATATACCAAAGTCTGCATTTAACGCATTGATCATAAATATTTTCCGGAAGCTTTGGTTTAGGACACCTATCTTCATGTTTGCCTTTTTCTATAAACTCTTTTCAATCACCACATTCGAGACAAAATTCATCATAATGCTAATAATATGCTGAATCGAATGCTATACGAATAAATAAACATTTTTTTTTCACATTATTGAGCACATAAAAGAATGGTGAAGAGGTATAGAGTAGTTCTATGAAAGTCTGAGTATATTCTGCCATTATTTATTTCTGAAATAATATGGAATCATATATCACAAGTATAAAAAATTCTTTACTTACCTCTTTTACTTGTCTTTGTTTAATTAATAGAGCTAACCGAAAAAAATAAAAATGATAGATGGATAGGTCCGACTTGCTTTTTCTATATTAGGTAAATAAAAATTTCTCAACCGAAAAATAATCAAATTAATGAGATCACTTTTCTTTGTTCTGCTAATAAGTAGTAATTTTTCTCAATTATAACCAGAAAGATGTAATCAATTCTCCAGGTGTGTAATTGCTATTTCTCCAAAATAAATTCTGAGTCACTTTATTACAAGTTTCTTCAATTTCATCAATACCATTTAGTCATATTTCATATCAAAGATTTACAGAATCCAATAATAGTTTTATTAGACTCAATATATAAGAAAGTTTAAATGTACAGATCTTATACAGATTCTCAATATTTGATAAATTATTCATTAATAACTATTTTATATAATTTGTAGTTCTTATTTTTAATTATAATTTTGCTTAAAATTATAGTTTATAATTATTAAAAAATAAATATTTATTATAACATAATTAAAGTAAATTAAAATTATAATAATTAAAAATATTTTTTAAATCTATATAATTTTAAATATTTATTTTTAATATTAACTATTTTATATTAATTTGTAATTCTAATTATATATATTTTTGTATTTCTATATTTGATAATTCTGATATTGTTATATAATAAATTTTAATCAAATAATTTACTGAATTATTTATACTTAATATTATTAAATTATAAATATTTCATATTTTATTGAAAAAATATAATTATATGAAATAAGTGAATAACTTAGTGAGTAAATAAATAATGTCACAATCAGACTTCTAGTAGATATTATCATAATATAAATGTTTAATTCAGTTTTTCCTTATGTTATACTTGATCTTAGTGATTTTAATTATTTTAGGATTATTATACTATTTTCTTCTATTTTTAAAATAAACTATCACTATTATTAATAGATTATGATATCTACTTAGTATTAAATAATTTTAAAGTAATATAGTAAGATTTCAAAAAAAAGTCTGATTCAAAAATTTGAATCTAATTAAAAGTTTGATTTGAGTTTGATTTGAATTTTGAATCAGACGTAAACCTGATCAAAAATTTAGTTTAAGTTCAAATAAATATTTGTTGATGTTTCAATTAAAGTTATAAATTGTAATATAAGCTACAAATTAATATAAGATAATTAATATTTAGAATCAATATTTAAGAAGTTATATGAATTTAAAAAATAATTTTAATTATTACAATTTTAATCTACTTTAGTTTTAATATAATAAATATTTATTTTGCTGTAGTAGTCATAAATTATAATTATAAGTAAAGTTAAAGTTAGAAATAAGAGTTACAAATTGATATATAATAGTTATCATTAATAATAATTATTCAGATAGTTATATAGTATTTACAATCAAATTTAATAAATGTAAAAATAAAAATACTTTAGTTATCACTATATAAATTTTTAATTCTTACTAAATACTATAAATTATATTTGTAACTTATATTTAGAGCTACAAATTAATATATTATACTATATACTAATCTTTAATCAAACTTGAATCAGATTCGAACTTGTATAATGATTTAGTTTAAATTCAGTTCAAACTTCAAATCTTTTTTGAACTCAAGTCAAAGTCCAGTTTGAATTTTGAACTGAACTTGAATTCAAGCAAAAGTTTAATTCAGTTCATAAAAACACTATAATATAGTACTGATATTCTTTAGCAACTTTAATTAATATCTAATAGTATATAATTAATATAAATATTATAGTATAAGTTTATTTATTAAAATTAAATATTTTATTAATAATAAACAAGAGACAATTTATTGACTAGCTAAATTTTGTAGTAATTAATTGATGATTTATTTGAGAGATTAAACTCTTTATTATATAGCTAATTATTTTATTATGTATATTATAGTTCTTTACATTTATCATATATTACTAAATATTACAATATGTATTAAAATATCATGTAAATTTTGTTATATAAAAATAATAAAAATAATAAATTATAATAATAATGATAATAATAATTATATTTTGATTTATAACAATGAATAAATAAATAAATAAGTGAAAGAGTGAATAAATAAATAAATATTGAATTAATAAAATTTAAGTGAACTAATAAATATAAATTTATATATCTATTGAATTATAATTTGAATATATATAAAAACAATATGTATTATAGTTATTAGAATTAAATTAGAAACAAGTTCTTGATAAGTAATATTTTTAATTATTATATTATAGTTAATTATTATATACTTTTAATTATTTATACAAACTAGATTTGTACTTTATATAAAATAAGTAATCAAGTGCAAACTTTTTTTTATATCTCTTTAACAAAGTATATTATTGTTTTTTATATAATTACTTCAATATATTTGTTATAAGTGTTATATAGTTCTTGAATAAAGTATTAGTTACTCAAGCATATTTGTCACAAATATCATATTATTTAGTAATTAATTTTAGACTATCTAAATATATTTGTGATAAAGTTTATTAAAATTATATTTAAATAAAAATATTATTATAATTTATAAATCTGTTTTTAAATTATATTTGTTATAATACAAATATTATAATATTTATATATTTGACTTCAAGATTTTGATAATACTTTCTAGTTGTTCAGATTATTGCATTAAAGAACATAACTATTATCAATCTTTAAGTAATTTTATCATTAGTACTTTTAATATTTATTCATATTTAGTCTAATAATTATAAAGTATTATTAATACTTTAAATTATTATTAAGATATTAAAAGTTTTTCTTGAATATTCCTTTAAATTTTATAAATATCTTTGAGTATTTCGAAAGTTAATCAAAATGATAATAATATTAATATAATATTTTATTAATATAGTTATCCAATTTAATTACTAATTAATAATTAGTAATTTATCCAATCAATTATTATAGAAAAAATAGAACTAATTTTATTATATATATAGTTCTGATTATAATTTAGAATTTTATTTAGAATTTTATTGAATATTTACTTGAACTTGAATAAAAGAATAAATAGAATAAAGTTACAAAAACTATTTGTTGATTAATTAAATTTTAACAAAGTTAAATTACTTTAAAATATTAATTTTATTAGTAAAATTTATTAATTTAAGATAGCTTACATTATATTACAAGCAAAAAATTTGTTAGCTAATACTTTAAAAAATTTCTAATTATTAACAAAATGAAAAAATTGGTTTATTAGAGTTTCAAAAAAAGTCTGATTTAGTTTAAACTTAAATTGAACTTGAATCTGATCTAAAATCTGGTTCAAAGATTTGAATCCAACACAAAATCTGGTTCAAGTTTAATTTGAACTTCAAAATTACAAATTAATATAAAATAATTAATATTAATAATAAGTTAAATAAATTTAAATATTCAGAGTTATATAACATTTATGATAAAATTCAATAAATATAAAATGAAAATATTTTAAGTAAACTTTTAATTCTTAATAAAGATTATAATTATACTTATAATTAAAGTTGTAGTCCAAATTCAGAATTACAAATCAATATATGATACTATATACCGATCCCGAACCGAATCAGATTCAAACTCGTTCAATAATTCGGTTCATAGGAATACTAGATAAAATGTTGTATTTATTATGATCTGGAATTTGCTCAGATATTTTATTTTTTTAATTTGAAAAATTTATATAGAACAAATTAATCAATTCTTTGATCTATTGGAGACTGTAAGAAAGACTTTAGAAGAATTCCTGATGATAAAATCCCCTTAATGCCGCGTGGTAATTCTCTTGATTATTGGGGCTTAATTATATGTGAAAGTTTCCGGGACCATTAGATAATGGATTCATTTAAATGTAAATGCGTCATTTTGATGATGAGTCATCAACAAGGCATATTTAATTTATAATCAACTCCCAGCACTAACCCATACACTTAGTTGTATATGCGCATGCCATATAATCACCCTTATTAGACTGATTTAATATATATATATATGTATATATTTACACACACATATATATATTAAATAAATAATTAGAGTCTTGCAAAAAATACAGAGTATTTTGTTGGATTTTGGGAAACTCGAAATAAATAATTCCAGCACTTGATACTAAAACTCTTGTCTATTTACCAGAAAAAAAATGGTAAATTTAATATGACTTCTGGAGGATTGAGATACTAATATCTAATAGCTATGGTGATGATAGATGATAATGATGATGGTGGTGATGTCAATGACACGATATGGTGATGGATGTGTGATTGGTAGTCTGTCGAGATAAATTCTTGCCCCCGGTAATAATAAATTAATTTATCTATTATCTAAATTACGAACTTTGGGTGAAATTGGTTGTTGTTGCATCTCCCTTATCAACAACGGCTGCAGAATTTTCTGCAATTTCTGCTTCGTGAACCAGTAAGCTTTCTTTGACTGGTGACGAGTTGTGAGCTTGTGTGGCAGGATTGGTATGTGGAATTGTTTCGGGTGAAGGATGTTCAGAGCCTACTGGAGCCTGCGTCTTACCCGCCTTTGAAAGAGCGTAATCTCCAGAATCAAAATATTTTCGTTCCTTTTTAAATGAATGATTATTTGAAATTTTTATTAAAAATGAAATAAAATGATCTTTCGATTGTATTGATTATTATAACGAAAATCTATTGGATTCATAGATGGTTTACTATTAAAATCTTGCAACCATGCTTCATAAATTGTTCCAAACCCTCTTTTTTTGCAAGATATTCAACCTTGGTGAATCTTTCAAATGGGATCCATTACGAAAAATGGTTTAATCTTCGCATATTCTTTTATTAGATTGTCGATATCTTTATTTTTCGTGTTTATTAAAATACACTACAATATTATTATACTCAAAAAAGTTAATTAATGCCAAGTGCTGCACGAATTTACCTTCAAATTACGATTCAAAATATCTTTTCCTGTTGGTAATCGACCATAAAGATTGAAAAGTTTTCTCTCTTCCTCGGTCAATTTCTAAAAACATTATTTACAATGATTGACAAAACAGCAAAAAGTAAAGACCGAATGTATATAAATTAATTAATACTTACACTCAAGTCAACCTTGTTTTGTTTCGCGGGCAACATTGTGGATTATTATTTCGACAAGTTATTTTTAACCTTTAAAAGAAGGAAGACAGGTTAAAAAAAGTAAGTGTGGGAAGTGGCACTGTGGGTATGCGAAAATCGTTTCTTCGGAATTCAGCCAATCAATAGACAATTTCAAGTATCACAAAATACGCCATTGGAGTGGCTAGTTTTCGAGATATTAGGGTCATCAATTCCCCACCCTAACATTTCTTATCGGCTTTCTTGGTCGAACTCTACAGTTCACAAAAAAGAAACTTTTATACTTCACCATCCAACAGGTAGACTTTCTTTAAATATCTACTCATTCGTTTCACAATGGGTTCTGCGACCGCTTCTCCAGAGACAAGTCCGACGAGAGCTGACCCGACAAGGTATATAACATTCAAGGAAAACAATTTGGTCTTCCATTGCAACTAAGCAATTTCTACCAACGAACAGGCAAAGCGATTGTTTGATGTGCAAAAACTGTTTTCCTAATATTTAGGAGACTCGGAAATGATGTGTACCCTTTTAAGGTGACTGGTGAAGAGCATTATTCAGTTGGTGAAAACGGTGATAATTTCTCCTATTACGACAAATCCGATAACCAAGACTCTGGTGTCCTAAGAAAAGGTCGAGGCACTTTCCGGGGACCTACTTCTAATAACGAATCCCAACAACAAGAACAAGCACCTCGGGCTCCTAGAGGACGTGACTTTGATGCTACGTCTTTAAGACAGTACCCTCCTAAAGGTAGCGAAAAACCACAAAAAGGAAATAATAGAAAAAAATCCAAATCAGTAAGACGTCAAAACAGTAACGACGGACAGGTTGATTCCGAAAGTGGTGACTCTGGCAGTGATGGGAACATTACCGATGAGGTTAATAAACTTGCGTTGACCCTTGAGACCACTTCCATTATCGAAAACGGCAAGGAGATTAAACAAAATATGCAGCAACAATATAATGAAGTTTCCTCGCCTTCAGCTTCTCTAGAACGAAACTCGCAACAATCCACCGTTGAAGAATGGGAAAAAGTTGCAGAGAGCGATTTGATTCTAAAAGGATCAGTGTTTGCTCAAATTGATAGCCAATCTGATTATAGACAAAAAACAGATGGTCAAAAAACAGACAATGGACAAAGACCTTTTAAAAAAGGTCATAAAAAAAGTAAAAGCAGCAAAATTGAATTCAATTTTGATCCAGGTTAAGCAAATTTTCTCATCTATATTAACTGCAACAATTTCATTCTCATATAATGTGATTATTAAAAATTTTTTACGTGCATTATTTAGATGCATATGAAGGGTCAACCCGTATTCTAGACATCTTTGATTTTCCAGCATCTTTCAAAACTCATCATCTCCACGAAATATTCCAAGAATATGAAAGTATGCGAGGTGGTTATCGCATTAAATGGATGGATGATACACGCGCTTTAATTATCTTTGAGCATCCTGCTACCGGTATTCATTAATTCATTATTTAATCCATAAATATTTATTACTCAATAATAATCTTATATCATTATCGATGAATTTCTCTTTTTCTAATAACGCGGAAATTAGCACGGAAAGCTTATTTGGACAATGTCAATAATCAAATGGCACAAATTAAACCATATGATGGACCAACTGATTTTCTTCAAAAGAGTAAGTTACTGATAGTCACTAGTTAAGAAATTATAAATTATGCTCAATTTGTGTATATGTATAAACAGAAGATCCAAACAATGCACAGCCTCGTGCACGTCCAGTTACTACCGACATGGTCGCTAAACGTCTTGTTGCTGGTGCTTTAGGCGTTCGCGTTCAAAAATCTCCTGAGCAACGGCAAGCTGAACGTCAATTACTTCAAAATGCTAGAGGTAATATAGAATAAAAATTATTGAACGATTAATAATAACAAACGGTAAGATTACATGATACGCTTCATTAATATTTGTTAAATTTTTTTCTCTTCGCAATGACATTTCATATTTAAAGAGACTCGTGAACAAAAACGTTTTGATACTCTTAGACGTTCTCAAGATTTGGATGCCGCTTTTAATGAGTAAAAATAGTCCTCACCTTTTAAGAATTGCTTTTAATGAGATTAGTATTTTGATTTTCAGAATATCATCCCATTATGAGCATTGCTCGAAGAGGAAGATTCCTTAAATTTATCCTTGCAAAACAACGAAAACCTTTTTTTGTGTCATCAAGTCATAATATAAATTTTTCCGTTGTATCTTGTTATAAAATCTTTGGTTATTATTCATTATATTCCTTACATGGCTCCCATATCTATATATAATATACTCATTCTATCATTTTAACCGGCTGTACACCTTTCCCTCCTAATTTTGCGTGATCTTTAATTTAAATATTATTTTATCCTTATATTATTATATTATATTACTGGTTTCATTTAAAATAGCATTGTATGTAAATAGAGAAACCACGGAAAATTAAAATTTCGGTTTTTTGATTTGGTGTTCAAAGAGTGCATCTGAAATCAAATGTATAAATACAGAATATCCCAAAAAAAGGAATTACAGCAAGAGAAATTCCGCGGAAGAGCCTAACCAACATAATCCAAGCCATTCTAAATATATCATATATGGGACGCATATACGTACATTTTAGATGTTCATAGCCACAATAATACAGTTCCCGGCGAAAGTAATGGCGAACGTGTTTTTTGCCTATATCTTAATGAGAAATCATTCAAAAATTGTGAAAATTTGTAGATATATTCTCTAGGATGTTGGAAACAAGATTTTTTAATACCATAAAGCATATTTTTAACATTAAATAGGAATAAAAAATTATTTAAAATATTTTTTATAAAAAATTTTCTTAAACTTACAAATATATTCTTTACATTATAAAAATATATTCTTTATATTATAAAATATATTTTTATTTAAATATTGAAAATTTTAATTTGACACTTTTGATATCAAATTCCACAAAATATTAATTAAATTTACAGTTAATATTGTATTATTTTTGTGAGATTTAAGTTATTTACATGTTATTCATGTGTTTTATTAACTAAAAAATATAAGAGACTAAAATTATTATTAAAGGTAAGTAATATGTATTTGTGTTATAACAAACTAGAATAATATTCAATAACTTCATTATGTTTACATGTTTTACTTTAGAACTTCAAAGATTATAATACAAAACAATAAATTTTTCAAGTAACTTTTTTTCAAGTTAATAATTATAAGTAATTTATATTTCAAAATCAAAAACCAATACAAATATAATTATACAAGTTATTTTTAAAGTTTTATTAATACAAGAAACTTATTGACCCTAAACTAAGATACATAATATATTTATATAAATTACATATTATATAATATTACTAGTTCTATTATTATTAATATTAATTTCTGTGTTCATAATTGTTATTGTTAATTTAATTAAATACAAGTATTATTAATATTCTTGATATTAATACAAGTATTAATATTATATTATTAATACAAGTTTAAGAATCAATAACTATTTAAATATAAATATTCAATAAGATAATAATTTATCAAAAATAACTATTTAATAAAAATATTAATAAAGTTATTTTTAGTTTATATAAACTAAAAATAACTTAGATTAATATTTTTATAGTCTCAGAAAGGACATGTGTTTTGCTTTTTTCAACACATTTGAATAACATGCATTTTACTTTTTATAATACACATCTGAAATGTTTATAGTCTGCTTATCAAGTGACGTGTGATTTGCATTTGCTTCATCATCTGAAAGTTATCAGGATATATAGATGACTTGATATATGATTTCTATTTTTTACATTACTTAAATGATAATCATAGCAAATTTTTGTCACTATTCACATGCAATATAATATATATCAGCTTAGTAATTTTTATTATTAACTCACATAGACAAAAAAATATATCTGATTATGCATTTAGTTACATATTGTTATTTGCAGGTCTGATGCAAAAGCTATACCTGAACCTGGCACATAGTACTCTAGCTTTCTGATTAATTCATTTATGAGAGTCAGAGTTGAGGCACATAGTGTTGAAATAGTATTCATAATTTTTTATATAATATACTTGAATACTAATTAAGAATGAGACACATAATGCTAAATTATTAGTAGTTATTAGTAAAGATGATGCAGTAACTATTACAATATAGTGACAAATAAAGCATCACCTAGTTACAACTAAAGATATTGTGGCAACTATTACAACGTGGTGACAAATAAAGCATCACCTAGTTGCAACTAGTTGCAGCTTATAAAATTTTGAAGTTGCAACGTATTGCAATAAATGATAAATAAGCATCATGTACTTGCTATACCATCTCTAGTTCAAACAGCATCTCTATTTATATATTTTTCGAAATTACAAAAAGTTAAATAAATAATTATAAAAATATACAAAAGTGAAATAACTAATTATAAAAGTAAAATAACTTATATAAAAATGAAAAGTGAAATTTTGAAAAAGTGAAAAATAAAAAGTGAAAAATTAAAAAGTGAAATAATTAAAAGTGAAATTACATATATAAAGTGAAAAATAAAAAGTGAAAATCAAAAAAGTGAAATAATAAAAGTGAAAAAAATGAAAAGTGAAATAATAAAAGTAAAATAATATATATAAAAGTAAAAAATAAAAATCAAAAAAGTAAAATAATAAAAGTGAATAATAAAAGTGTAATAATATATATAAAAATAAAAAATAAAAAGTGAAAAATCAAAAAAGTGAAATAATATTAAGAGAATTTGTCATTATTTGAATATTTTTTGAAATTTTCATGTTTTTTGATTATTTTTGAATTTGCAATTTTTATGTTACTATTGTAATAGTAATCTCTTTATTTTTTCTCTTTTTTGTTGTTATTGATGTTTTTACTCTGTTATGGAAAGAGTTTGGTGTTTATTTTTCAGAATATTCTCTTTCTCTTTTTCTTTTTAAGAATTTGTCTTCAAATTCCAGATTTTTTTGTTTATTAGGCATAATTTTACTCTTTAATCTTAATTAGATGAATTTCTCTATTATTAGTTGATTAATTGATGATAATTTGTATATAGTGAGGTTGTTTTTGTGTTGAAAGAGTGTTGTATTGTTACACATTTTTCAGTAACTGGATAATTAATCAATAAATGTAAACAAGAGTTAGAAGAGATAATTAAACAAATATAAGAGAAATGTGAAAATAATATCTAAGTTCTATATCAATTTTTACTGAAATTGTTATAGTTTGAGAGGGGAAAAAGATAAAATAATAATATTTCAATTAAATATAGTGTTTTGAATAACTGTACTAACTAATTAATTTATGAATTTATTAATTAAAGTAACTAATAATTTAACTAACTAATTAAAATATCAAAAATAATAAAAGTAATAAAGATAATGAAGACTCTTTCACTTCATTTTTCTCACAAGAAAGAGATTACAATGTCTTTAGTTGAGGAATTCCAAATAATTCAATTATAACAAAAATATTAAAAGACTAATCTATAACAAAATATCAATTTAATAATTCAATATCAACATTTTAATCAACTCAATACGATCTCAAAGCTATTTGTTCACAAGATTTGAAGTGTACTTTTGAGAGGGAAATGCAAATTGTTTAAGTATTAAAAGGTATTTGTTTTATTATGTTATTTATTCTCAAGTTTCGACATGTTGAGTTAGAGCTCAACTACAACTCATATTTATACATTCTCTTCAAAATACAGGTATAATATTAAAACAAGAAAAAGATATAAAAGATAATTATACTAACTAAAAATAGAATTCCAATTTACTAAATATGGAAAGTAGAG